AAATCAAAAGTCAGAGGCCTAACTGACTGAGCCACCCAGGCAACCCCAAGCATTCCTACTCTTAACCAAGATGATGCAAGGATCCTAAGATACTTTACTTCACTCCTCACTCATGTATTTGAATTGTTTTCTCAACTTTACAGAACTTTATTATTATTGTTTTATGTAGTCAGTGTTTATTTACATTTACTCATTTCTTTACATTTAAAAAAATCTTCATTTCTTTTGTATCTTAGATCTTCCATCTGTGATCATTTTCCTTATTCTAAAGTATAATTTAGAATTTGCTTTAATATGGGTCATGGCAAATTCAGTCATTTGTTTTGTTTTGTTTTTTGGAAAATGAGTTTTCCCCCCTACTCTCATTTTCTGAAAGATAGTTTTTTCTGGGAAAAGTATTTTATTTATTTATTTATATTCATTTTTTAAAAGATTTTTTTTTCTAAGTAATCTCCACACCCAACATGGGGCTCAAACTTACAACCTGGAGATCAGGTGTCACATGCTCTCCCGACTGAGCTAGCCAGGTGCCCCTGGGAAAAGTATTTGAGATTGTCAGTTGTTTCTTTCTGTATATGGAAGATACCATTGCAATGTTACATGGCTTCTATTGCTGATAAGAAGTCAGCTGTAAGTTTAATTGTTGATCTACTGGAGGTAATTTGTACTTCTATTCTGGATGCTTTTAAGATCTCCCATTGTCTTTGGTGTTGCCATAGTGAATTCACCATAGTGAATCTGTAGTTCATTATTATGCGTCCGGAGATGGATTTCTTTTTATTTATCATACTTGGAATTTGTTGGCTGCTTTATACTGTGAATTGATGTCTTCCATGCATTCTGAAAAAAAAAAATATCAGGCATTATCTCTTCAAATATTATCTTTGCCCCAGTCACTCTCTCTTATTCTTGTGAAACTGTGATCAGGTTTATTATAGATCTTTTGAGTCTATCCTTCATTTTTCTTCACCTCTTTTCATATAATCTTTTTGTCTCTCTGTATTCCTTTCCTTTGTGGATAGTTTTCTTTTAGTTATTTCTGGTTTTCTAATTCTTCTTATTTGTCTAACTTATTAAACCCATCCAATGAGCTTTCCATTCCAATTTTTATATTACATTTGTAGAAGTTACATTTGGTTCTTTTTCATATTTGCTATATCGTTCAAAAATCATTTTCCCATATACTGCAGACATTTTAAGTATCTTTCATTTCTTTAAACACAACAGCTGCTTTATAAACAAAGCCTGATAATTATAAAATCTTTTATTGCCATTATGTTGTAACTGCCAATGATCTCTTGAGAATTGTTTCCTTATGTACTAGTTATCCTTTGAAAACTAATTGTGAGAATTATTTGAAACCTATTGTAGAGGGATAGTCCAACCAAAAAGGGTTTGTATTTGCTGTAATAAGATTCCTAGGCACTACTAATTCCAAACACTTTCAACTATATTCACAGCTTGACATTTGGGGGAAGTTTTTTAGGTGGTAAGAATCTAGGCTGTAAATCCATCTATTAACTTTTTGTGGTTGCAATATATCCAAGACAGGCAATTTCTCAATATCAATGCAAATTTTCTGCTGTATTCTAGGGGTTAGGTTGGTTGTGTTTCCATACAGCCCTGGCTTTATGTAGGAAGAGTACCTCATTAGACTCCCCACCTGGAGTGGGCCCTAGATTTTAACTTCTGAATTTCATGTCCTGTAAGAAATGGAAATTGTCCTCTTGTCACAATTTCACTATCCTGCTTACCTCTCCGGGTATACACTTTCCCTTATAGTTTGCACTTGTACATTCTCACTAACTTGTCAGTTACCTGGTGCTTTACAGAACTTGATTTCTACTTTGTTATTTTAGTTTTTTTTTAAGGCAGGGTCATTTCCTAGCCTATTATATTATCATAAGTGGAACTTCTATATGGATTTTGAAAAACAAATCAGTGTAGAATAGCTGTTAAGAAAACACCCTAGAGTCAGACTGTCTGGCTTTACATCACGGATCTAGGCTTTATCTTCTCTGCGATATTGGGCAAGATACTTAACTTCATTGTATTCCACTTTCCTCATCTTTAAACTGAGGAAAGGAATAATATTTTCCTCACAACACAGGCGATGTATTTGGTATAATTTCTGCCTCCTGATAATCACTTATTACCTCTCTATGAAAATTGGTGAGAGAGAAAAAAGTAAGAAATGACAAGAGAAAAGAGTGGGAAAGGATAACTTGGTATGTGAAGGCAAACTGTAGGGGAACAGGAAGTGGGAAAAATGACAAAAATGTGGGAGAAACAGTATACAAAGAGGTTTTATTAAAAAAGTCTTGATGTATGTTACTCAATATAATTCAGCCTATTTTGCTTTCTCAAAAGATCTTCAGTAAGGACCTACATTAGTTTTCAATGTGTGTTTTTTAAAACAGGATTTGTGTTTCTTTTGGATGTGATACTGTACCAAGACTGCTGTCTAGGTGGCTCGATCTTATTCTTATTTCATATATACCTGCAGGAGTAAGTAATTTCATCACAAAGACTGCTGTGTTAAATAAGCGCTTGCTTGCCAATCTGTCTGAAGCAGAGCAGGCATTAAAAAAAAAAAATCCCAAACCAAAACGAACCAGCACCAAGACAAGTTGAATTAAATAAATGAATGAAATGCTGGCAAATTTTTAATTAGAAAAGAAAACTTAAGATGTTAGGCCTTTGTAGCACCAAACACAGCAAGAAAGATGATGTAAAAATGATGATGTTTTACAAAGAGCATTTTCTAGTTACAGTAAGTGAAACTGCTTAGTACAGAACCCCTGGGAAACATAAAGCAGGGTTCTCCACCTCTTCGCAGGTGACATGTTGGTCTGGATAATTCTTCACTGGGAGGTGTGTGTCTGGTGCACTGTAGGATGTTCAGCAGAAGAGCTAGCCTCTACCACTAGATGCCAGTAGCACTCTCCACACGTGCACCCAGTTGTGACCACCAAAAATATCTCCAGATATTGCCAAATATCCTCGGAGGGGCAAAATCACTTCAGACTGAGAACCACTGAAATAGAGGAATTACAAAAAATCATCCACAATCCTCCCACCAAGAAACGTAAACTTTTTGTTTATATAAATAAAAATTACAAAACAGTGTCACATTGATCTTATTCTATAGCCAGCTTATTTTTCACTCAGTAAACAGCATCAACATTTTTGTTATATAATATTCCTCTGCAGCATAATTTTTTTGGTAGTGCAAGTACTTTATAACAAAATAATCCTAATTCCTCCTTCCTCCCTCCCATCCCTTGTATCATTGCTGTCCTTCCCTTCATTTCACTTATAAACACATACACAAACACACATGCACACATGTGTGCACACATACATAATCAGATACATTATTGCTATTATTATTTTGAACAAAATGCTTTTTATTAGATCAATAAAGAATAAGGAAATGTTTTTATTTTACTTTCACTTATTCCTTCTCCAGTACTCTTCTTTTCTTTACATAGATCCAATTTTCTGACCTGTATCATTTTCCTTCTCTCTAAAGGACTTCTTTTAACATTTTTTTCCCAAGGCAGCTCTACTGGCTTGGGAAATTTGCTCAATTTTTGTTTATCTGAGAAAGGCTTTATTTCACTTTAGTCTTTTCTTGCTTGTGCAGCCTCATCACAACTGAAGAGAAGTAAAATGTGATTGTTATCTTTGCTCTTCTATTGGTAGACTGTTTTTCCCCTCTGGCTTTTTCAGAATTTTTTCTTTATCTTTGACTTTGTATAGTTTGAGAATGATACGCAGTTTTCCTGACATCTATGCTGCTTGGTGTTCTCTGAGCTTACTGGGTCTGACTTTTGGTGTATGACATTAATTTGAGGGAATATCTCAGACATTATTGTTCGAAATACTTGCTTATGTTCCTTTTTTTCTTCAGATATTCATTACGTGCGTGTGTTTCACCTTTTGTAGATGTCCAGCAGTTCTTGGATATTCTGCTCTGGTTTTGTTTTTGTTTTGTTTTGTTTTGTTTTGTTTTTCAGGCTTTGTTTCCTTTGTTTTTCAGCTTTGGAGGTTTCTGTTGAGATATCTTCAAGCTCTCTGTGGATAAAGATCTCTTTCCTTAGCCATGTCCAGACTATTAATAACCCCACCAGAAGCATTCTTCATTTCTTTTGCAGTGTTTTTTTTTTATCTCTAACATTTCTCTTCAGTTCTTTCTTAGGATTCCCATCTCTCTGTTTACATTGTCCATCTGTTCTAGCATGTTGTCTCCTTTATCCGGATAAATTAGAGCCTTTAGTATATTAAATCCGAATTGTTTTAAATTTTCAGTCTGATAATTCCAACATCCCTGTCATATCCAAGTCTTGGTTTTGGTGATAGCTCTGTGTCTTCACATGTTTTCTGCCCTTCAGTATGCCTTGTAAGTTTTCCTGGATTGTTGGACATAATGCACTTGGTAAAAGAAACTGCCCAGTACTGGCGCCCGGTAAGGCTGCTGCTTGTGGGTTTCTATTCCCTTACGTTGTGTATTTTGCCTGCCCCTCTCTCTAATTCTGGGGGTAGCGGTTTTCCCTGTGACCTCAGGTCTCTTGCAGATCTAAGAAAAGTTGCTGATTTTTCAGTTTGTTCAGCTTTTACTTGTTAGGATCTACTGCATATTATTATTATTATTATTATTATTATTATTATTATTATTATTATTTTGCCCATTGAACATTTATTTATTTAAGATCTACTCCATGATTTTTAATGGAAAACTTGTGTGTATGGACATAGTGCGCTTTTACATAACTAATTGTGTAGTATTGGGGATTTTGATTGTTTCAAATAAGGCTACAGTAAATGTATCTGATCGATCCTTAGAATAGATTCTTGGGGGGGGGTGGTGAGCCTCCACCAGCAGGCGGCGCTGTAGGACCTACGGCGGCCCGGGAAGAGCCAGACGCCACTCTCCCTCGGAGGGCACTCTGCCCCGCCCGTCCTCTCCCCTCCGCGGTCGCGGGTTTGGGGAAGTGTTTCTAGGAGACGGCGCCCGCCGGCTGCGCCTGCGCGGTTGACGCTGCGAGGGGGCGGGCTGACGGGCCGCGGCGCTGGCCGGCTGGTAGTTCCCTTTGGGCCTGGGTCGTTGGGCCTGCCCGGGTTCTCTCGCTCCATGGTACGCCTGTGAGTCACGTTGCCGGCGGACGTCTCCTCGGGATGGAGCACATCCGTACGACCAAGGTAGTCGCGGAGAACAATTAGCCGCTAGCCATGGTCTGACCCGGCAGAGGTGGGGGGCGACGGTAACTCGGCTGGCCGGACCAGGGCTGAGGACCGGCCGCGCGGGGGCCTGCCTGGGCCTAGTCTGGGAGGGCAGGGGCAGTTTGGGCCAGGGTGGGTGCGGAGGGCTCCTGTACCTATGGGAGTGGGAGTTCCGCTTTCAGCCCTTGGTGTTGGGGTGTGGATGATTTGGGCTGCTGGGGGTTGAGTCCCATGAATTGGGTCGCCGCCCTCTCAGCGCTACACTTTCTTGGGCAAAATTGGGGCTGCTTTAGCTTCAGCTGCTTTCAGGCATTCGCCTCCCCCAAAGACCGGAAAACGGGTGGGTCCTCAAACCAGCATTGCAATATTGTGTAAGCTTTTCCTTGTTCACGTTGAATTGTCCCGTGTCACAGATTCTTGATGCAAGTTTTGGAGGCGCTGAGGTCAGCCCTCTGCTCCACCTCACTTTGTTGTCTCGGTCTCCATCCAGTCATTTAGGTTTGGTACTCCGTTCTCTGTGCTTCAAAACTTCATTGTCTTTAGCGTCAATAGTTTAACAGAGGAGTTACGGAGAAGGAAGACATGTTACCCCATATTTTAAAGTGTCTGATGGAACTCTTTTTCAGTTGATCTTATTAAATCCCATGCTTAATTTTTGCATGCGAAAGGCATTTATTTTTAGGAACGAACAAGTATTCTTATAATTCCATTACAAATGTTGAAACTGAAGGAAATGGTATCAGAATATTACCAAGTTACGTTACCAGGAATTAAGTTCAGCTTCAACCTTGGGAGGGAGAAAACATAAATCAAGACAAGAAGAATAACATAATTTTAAGATCGCCTGGAGCCTAACAAAATTAGGAAGAGGACCCACTGTGAATTTTGACTCCTCTGTTTTGCTAACTCCATCTCTCCATTGCCGCGCATCCTAAAATTACCGTTCATTTAGAAAAAATAGCGACATACGTTATCTTCATTTGTTCCATGGAGAATTTGAGGTCTATGTCATTAAAATTTTTCACGAACCTTTTTAAGGTGTTAGGGATTTTGTTAGAGCTTGTTTATAACATTGCATGTACTATAATATTTGAAGATGCTAAAAACTAGCCCCTTTTTAAAAATCTTTTTTTTTTCCTTAAGGGAAGAATGGTAAAGTAACTGTTTAATTCTGGTTGCTGGCTCTTAAAGTTTGAAAATAGAAGGGTGGTTGAGTAAATAACCAAACTAGTAGAAAACGCAGAGATGGAAAAGAGGGCTAGAGCATGCATCAGATCAGGTTCTTGTCCTGGTTCCAGGGTTCCAAATGTGTATTATATAGTAGTTTTTCACAGTGGGCCTATCCTGATGGTTTAGTAAGTTCCTTTTATGACTTTTTAAGGAGCAGAAGATTTCTGAATAATTTTCTATTAAAATTACTTTTCAAGTTGTGCTCTTTTATTACTTTGAGTTATTTTTCTAGCATGGGATCACCAGTACTCTGAGATAATCATAAGTGGCTATAGGTGGACTGCAATTAAACTAATACTTACTAGGTCCCAGTTATGTGCCAGGCATAGGACAGATACTGGCTGTAGAGCAGTGAGCACGATAGACATGGACCTCACTGTACATTCTGACAGTTGTGTGAACTATAATATTTTCTTAAATTATGACTTAAAAGATTGTTATGAACATAGCCTATTGCATTATTATACTACTTTGCATAACCTTCACTTGGACATGGTTAATTTACTGCAAAAATGATTGTATTTCAAAACTAAAAATGAATTGCTTTAAGTTTACTTAGCTGTTTTGAACTATGCAGTTTAGTGATTATGATCAAGAATTGACTGTAGAGTAGTTCTATGTAACTATTTATTCTATGTGGAGACAGCTGTATTTGAGAAGTAATAATTACCAGTGCTTGAGCAACTCTGTGTCAGTGTAGCCAACTGTGCAGTATTACTTTACAATATTTACAGTTTCACAAGTATGCTAATTTATACACAGTTGTCACTAATTTCTTTTTTTTTTAAGATTTTATTTATTTTGACAGAGAGTTGTCACTAATTTCTTAAATAACCCTGCCAGTTAGGTACATTATCAGCATTTGCAGATGAGAAGGAAATAGACTTGGAGAGTTGAAGTAATCTGCCCAGTTATCTCATGAGGGATGGAGTTAAGATTTAAACCAAAGTTTGTCGTAATTTTTTTCGTTACTTCTCTAGTTTTAATCTGATTGTTAAAATGTATTAATCTTCAGAAATGAATCCTAATGAATTCTAAGAGCTTTTTTTCCTCTAAACCTCTTCTTGACATAAGTAAATAATATTTATGTGGTATTTTTTTTGTATTGTTTATGGTCATTGTTTTTTTTATTGTTTACAAACCAGAGATTTATCAGATAAAGTATTTTAGCTGAGTACTGATTAAATGGCTTTATAGTTATAAAATTCAGGAACAGATATACCATCCTGTTTTGGTCACATTTGGTTTACTTACTGCATAGCATCACTAAAGATGTCAAGTCTAGTCTGAATTTGAATTTCTGAAAGACTATTTCCAAGCTCTGCCTATCACTTTGAGCTCTAATTTGGCCATAATGAGATAGTCTTGCCAAGAAACAATGGGAAATATGCAGAGACAGTTCTTCTTTATGCAGTCTTTCTCCTTTCCCTGCCAGGCTCCAGTGCTTTGGCTGACATCATCTGTTGATGTCAAACGATGTTGTACTGTTTGTGAATGGAACTTTACAGAATGTAATGGAAGAATGTTTTCCTAAACTATATATGGAAGACTGCTTTCTACAAATTGTTAAGGAATGGAATGTCCCAAGAAAATCTGACCCCATTAGGGCTCAAGTTGAATTATTCCAAAAGTAATGCCTAGTTTGTTCTTAGCTTGCTACCCATTTTTGTCATTAGAATGTGTGGTCATAGGTGTATGTACACAAATATGTGTAATCAGTTACAAAGAGGGAAAGAGATGCAAATAAGAACGAGTAGATTGTGGGGAGCACCTGAATGCTTTTCCTCCCATAAAGTGCTATTTTGACTCACTAATATTCCATTATACAGGTGAGAAAACTGAAATTTGCAGAAATTAAATACCTTGTCCTGATTCAAACAGCTAGTTCTAATAAGGAAGAGATGGAGCTGGGAACTTGAATCCAGGTCTTTCTGATACTAGTCCTGTTCTCGTAACCATAGCACTCCTCTGCCTCACAGAGTAATTGTCTAATCAAGAGATTTGAGGGGCGCCTGGGTGGCTCAGTTAAGTGCCTTCGGCTCAGGTCATGATCTCAGGGTCCAGGATCGAGCCCCGCATCAAGCTCCCTGCTCAGTGGGGAGTCTGCTTCTCCTTCTCCCTCTGCCCACCCCCACTTGTACACCCAGACATGCTCCCTTCTCCCCCTCTCTCTCAAGGAAATAAATAAAATTTTTTAAAAATTAATTAATAGATTTGAATAGTGAGGTAGGTCAGTGTGAGTAGGACTGGAAGGAAGGTAGGGGATGGAGGAGAGGAACTTAGGTGGTAGGATTTTGTCTGGTAGGTAACCTATTATGAGGGTGTAGGGTTAGGGAGAAGGTATGGTCCAGAAGAATAGATTTGGGAGTTGTCAGTGTTTAGGTAATCATTGATGTTTTCTTTTATGGATGAGTTTATGCAAGGAGTACACGTGTAGAGGCCCTTTGGAGAAGAGTGTGAAGGTTAGAGCCCTGGGAATACTTAGAAGGGGGCAAGCAGAGGAAGAGGAGTCAGAGAAAGAGTACTAGGGATATAATGGGAAGAGGTGAATCACAAGAAGGGAAGTCTTCCCTATTCTAATTTCCTTCTTTGCTCCCTCTTCCTCTGCTCTTTCCTTTTCTTGGGGCCTGGTACTGTTCTATGTACTGGGGAAATGGTGGTTCCCAGGCAAAAGTCCCTGCCAAAACTTACTTTCTAGTTGGGGGAGACACAACAGTAAACAAAGTTAATAAGCCAAATAATAATATAGTAGATGGTAGTAAATGCTATGGAGAGTGCCAGGGTGAGATTGGGGGAGGACGGTTGTAAATAGGGTAGTTAGGGAAGTTCTTACAGAGATAGTGACAATTGAGTACAGACTGAAAGTGGTGAGGGAGCAAGCTATCTTCACAGGGGCAGGGGTTGGGGAGGAGTGGCTGGAAGAGTCCCAGCAGAGGGAACGGCAAGGGCAAAAGCCCTATGTTGGGCATGCCTGGTTAGTAGAAATCAGCAAGAAGACCAGTGTGGCTAGATCAGAGTGAGTGAAGGAGAGAGCACAGTAGGAAATTAAAAGTTGGAAATTAAAAAAAATTAAAAGTTTAATTAAAAATTAAAAATTAAATTAAAAGCCTTCAGCAAGGCTTGAAGGCTAATGTGAAATCTTTGGTTTTACTGAGTGAGACAGGAAGCCATTCATAGAAAGTCACCTGTATTCAGTGCTGCAGAAAAGCAAAGTAAGATAGGACTGAAAAGTGTCCTTGGATTTATGATCTATTTTGTTTGGTGATTTATGCAGCCAGACGCTGTTGTAGGAACTTGGCATACACGAACAAAGAAAGATGAAAACCTCTGTCCTTTTGAGGGTTACCTTCCGCTTCCCAAAGGCAACTTGATGCTTTTTTTTTTTTTTTTTTTTTTTTTTTAAAGATGTCAGTGCTATGGAGTGTGGAATAATGATACTAAGAGTCGCGAATGGGTGCCTGGCTATAGGGGCAGCTCACAACAAGTCAGAGAAGCCATGACAGTGTGTTTTCTACTTCAGTAGCCCTGTCATGTAGTTGTAAAGTACAACTGTTGGCTACAGACATTGAATGAAGATGGCCATTGGTCCTTTCTTGTCCCAGAGACCACTTGGTGTCCGAATTTTCTGGATGTAATACTGAATATTTGTGATATCCTCTGTTTTTTCATTTCCATTTGTAATCATTTCCTTTGTAATCAGCTGAAATTTGAACTTCCTGTTTGAGTACCTTTTAGTGCAGGCCCAAAGTTGGCAACAATTCAACTAAATGGCCCTCAAAGTAATGTGTTGGCATTTCCCATCCTTACCATAATGACTACACCCTCCAATTCTCTTCTCCCTACTCTGTTTCTTCTTTGTTCTTTCTCTTCCCAAAACTTTGTCCTTCTTCCCCATTCTCTTTTTGCCTGTGATAATACCTATAATTAAAGGGTCCTAACACTATTTCCGTAGTGTCTCAGTGCTAGTGACCTGAAAGAGTCGTGATTGCTTCCTAAATACTTGACTTAAAACATTTCCAGGAAAGCATTGGGAAAGATCTGTAGCAATATCTGTAAAGTACTTTCAGTTCCTTGGTGAAAAGGGGAAATATGAGGCAGCAGTTGGTGCTTGGAAGTTGGCTAAGTCTCTGGTTTGAAATTTGTATGCTGATAATTTTAGCAAAGAAAAAGCTCTGCTTTCTTTTGTTTTTTACATTTATCTTAGGATTTGCAGCTAAGAACAGAATAATCAGTAAACTCAGAACCTAAAGTTTTTCCAGAACCTAAAGTACTAAATGAATGTTTTGGAATAATGTTCAGATTAATTTTATTATCGGTCATATCCATATAGTGATTGCCATATTGAAGCAGTCATGTAATGATTTTTCTATTATATTTTCTTGATTTGAATATAATTTTCCATTTACTAAAGTAATAAATAATCCTCAGTTTATTGAAGTCCTATATAGTCTCTTTTCTCTCAGATTTACATTTCTTTTTGTACCTTATCTTAGTGAATGGCAACCAGTCTGACAAGCTTAACATCTTCAAGAAGGCTCTATTTCTCCTTCCTTCTCACATCCGTTTTGTCATCTCTAGATGGGCTTCCGCTTTATCCTGTCTATTGCAACTTAATCTGGGCCTTTATCGTATCTCTCCAGGCACTCTTAGATTACTTTGTTAGCCTTTTACTTGGTTACCCACCTCCTGTCTCTTCTCTACTCAACATTTTCTCCACATTGCCATTGGAAAGATCTTCTTAAAAACCATATCTAGTCATGGCTACTGTGCTTAAAATCCGCTGTATCCTTTTATCTGCAACACAGATGCTCTACCTTAACAGGTGTTTCTTTTTCATCAAATATTGTCTCTCCCCTTTTGTGTTCTCTCTCTCCTGAGAATTCTGTATTTTCTGTGTTATAGTTAAGAAAATTTTGTTCAGCTCTGCTTTCAATATTATATTAGGAAAACAGTTTTTTCCAGCTGTAGGATACATTAGAATATTGAATTTGCTTTTAAAGTCCATCTGCCTCCTCCTTCCTTTCTCCATTTGAATTTGAACATTAGTTTAAGACAGGACTGTCAGGGCTCAACTTACCTCATCAGCTTACTGACTTACTAACAGTACTCATTTTTTGCAAACATCTGAGCACTTTATTGCTTACTGTTTGTCAAGCAACCTTGGCGTCAAGTACCTACATTTATTATCCAGCTTTACTACAGCCCTCAAAGAAGAGACTGTTGTCCTTATTTTATAGATAAAGAAAATGAGACCCAGACAATTTTGCCTTTAGTTGATAGCCAGTCAGTTTCTGTGGAGTGAATCAGTAAACTTTCTTGAAAATGTCTATTTATGTGGATCTTTTCAAAGATGTGTGTGTATGTGTGTGGGGGGGTGGGGTGGGGCTTGCATACACCCATAATGCAGTTGTATATTTTAAAGGACCATAGTTGTAAGAAGCTCTTTTAAAAAGTGGGAGGACTGGGGCGCCTGGGTGGCTCAGTCAGTTAAGCGGCTGCCTTCAGCTCGGGTCGTGATCCCAGGGTCCTGGGATCGAGCCCCTCACGGGCTCCCTGCTCAGCGGGAAGCCTGCTTCTCCCTTTGCCTGCCATTTCCCCTGCTTGTGCTCTCTCTGTCAAATAAATAAATAAAATCTTAAAAAAAAAAAAGATACTACATTTCTCTCCAAATCTTTAAAAAAAAAAAAAAGTGGGAGGACTACACAAACTGGAGCCTTAAATATTTGGGAGAAGAGCATAAAGATAGAGAAGGAACCTCGCCCAATGTGAGTTAAGAGCAAGAGGGATTAATTTGGAGTTGCATAAAAATGACCTGGTGAGCTTCTTAAAATACAGATCTTTGGGGGCACCTACGTAGCTCAGTCAGTTAAGCGTCTGATCCCAGGGTCCTGCTCAGTGAGGAGTCTGCTTCTGCCCCTACCCCTGTGCACGTGCGCGCTCTCTCTCTCTAATAAATAAAAAACCTTTAAGAAAAATACAGATTTTTGGTCTCCATCTCCTGAGATGGCTGAGTGAAGTTGAGTGGGGCTTAGGATTTGTATTTATGCAGAGTTTTGGAGATGATTCAGATGAACAGCTAGGGTTTGGGACTTGAATGTAGGTAATCAGAATTAAAGATCTAATAAATGGAATTTCAGATAATTTTGGATTTAGAGATTGGGGGAATCAAGAAATAGGCTTGGAGTGTTAGGATGAGTATTTTTAACTTGAATTTCCAATCTTGATAGACAACAAGCTCGAAAGAACTATGTAGTGTTATGCAGCTCTAGAGGAAGAGTGACTTTGTCTTAATTGGGTGATAGGGTGGGAATAGCAGACTGAGAGTCCACACATGTATTTAAAAACAAGAAAAGCCAAACTATAACTGTACATTCTTAGTAATTTTTCTGCTTATTTTAAGTTTGTTCATTTATTTGTAAATTACTATTTACTGTTCACCTTCTATGTAGGGAGAAGGTGGCAGAGAGAAATGAGGGACAGTATAATGTTACAAAGAAGAACTTTATATAATAAATCTCTTGGATGATTTCAGCAAGAGACCACTGGTAAACTGTGGGCACCTTCTGTTTTCCCCCGTGGGAAGTGTTTCTATGGCCTTTCCCCCTAATTCAACAAATAATATTTATTGTGTCAGATGCTATATTAGTCATTAGGTAGTCAGACATAAATAAGAAAGAGTTCTTGCCCTGGGGTATGTTGTAGCTTTAGTGAGCGAGATGGACACATGAACTTTATATGATGCTTTATAATGTAGAAACTACTCTAACAGTAGTGGAAGGTGCAGATTTTAAAAGTATTTAGGCTATAAAATTGATAGGAATTAGTGATTAGTTGAATATTGGTGGTCAAGAGGAAGTCATAGGATGATTCCCAGATTTCTAATGTGGGTGATTGGATGAAGATGGAGTCATATTAATTCAAATCAGAAATATAGGATTAGGAACCTACTTGTGAGGGGTGAGGGAAAATCAGTTTCATTTTCTGTATGCTTAACATGAGTCTTAACACATCCAAATACAGCAGTATGCATGGTGGGAAGGTGTTCTACCTCAGGAATCAGACCTATGACATAGGGTTATTACTGTGCTGTTCCGCTTACTAGCTGTTACTAGCTGTGTGATGTTGGGACATTTAACATTTAACTTCTCTAAGTCTCAGTTTCCATACGAAATTAATAGTACTTACTACATAGGAATTGTTAAAATTAAAAGAAATTATGTTAAGCACTTATCATAGTACTGGACATATAATAAGACCTCAATACTGTGTCAGGAATTATTATTGTTATTATGTGTATAGCAGGCAGTGTGAACTCAGGAGAGCTCAGAGTTGGGCATTTAGTTTGGAGAGTCATTAACGACAGTGGATAAGATGCCTATAGAGAATGGAGCCCCTGAATAAGAATAGTAATGAATAGGGGACGGACAGAGAGGGTTAAAATTCAAATCAAAGTGGTGTGATTGTTTTGCATGTAGATAATTGTGTGTAGAGTATTTGTGCCTTGTCAAAAAATTATTTATGGCTTGTGATTGAAGCATAACAAGAAATATTTATGACCTTTTGATTAAAAGACAATCAAACTGGGTGTTGTATGTAAGTGATGAATCACTGAATTCTACTCCAGAAACCAATATTGCACTGTATGTTAACTAAATAATATTTAAATTAAAAAATATGTGGACTCTTGAATATGAAAACTGTTTGTTTATACCATGTGCCTCCTTCCTGTTCTCCTTAATATTTGTGTTATTTTTTTACAGAGTACCTTTATTGGTTGTATTTCTAACTCTAAACAGTACCTGTGTAACTTGTGGTTTACATATTCCCCAAGATATGTGAAATTTAATGTTCAACATTAAATAAACTCATGTTTTTGAATAGAAAGAAGAGCTTTGAAAATGGTACATTTAAATCCTAAGATAACAAAGAATTTGTGTTACTTTTGAAATGAGAAATAACTTCTTTTTCTTTTTTTAGGTTGAGCAAGTGAAATTACTTGACCGATTCAGTACCAGCAACAAGTCACTAACAGGAACGCTCTATCTTACGGCCACACATCTATTATTTATAGACTCTCATCAGAAAGAAACCTGGGTAAGAAGGGCATCTTCTGTACTGCTTACCATACTTCGAGTAATGGACTTGGCCTTTTGCTGTATTTCATTTTGATCATGTACAAAAAATTTAATCATTAGTTAACCTGTTTCAACAAAAAATTTTTCAAAGTCACCTGATCACTTCTACCCTCCCTCCAAATAAAACAAGGATACAATGTAGAATGTGGAACTCTTTTAGAAGATATAGCAAGACTCTTTTTATCTGCATTAATAATTATAGAATACCTACTTGTTCCTTTTAATTTTTAAAAATGTAATATATGTACATGTTTAATATTTAATATTAAGTTCACATGGCATAGTCACAGTGTTTTTTTTTAAGATTTTATTTATTTATTTGAGAGAGAGAATGAGAGGGCACCTCATCCATGGTATTTTTATACAAAATTACAATTACAGTGTTTTTTTAATTGATTGTAGATCAAATAATACAATAATGGATATTTTGTATATATTACTTCCTGTATATGTGCCAGAGTTTCCCAGCGGTATCTGCCTGGGAGTAAAATTACTGGATCTTATAATAAAAATAAGTGCATATTTTCCTTCACTAAATATGGCCCCTTTCCAAAATAGTTGTCTCAAAATATTCTCAGTAGAAAGTGATACATTGTCCACCATTGTTGGCAACATTGATATTGTCAGCTTTAAAATTTTTGCCTCTCCGGTGGATATGCAATTGTGATTTTAATTTGCTGATTACAAGGAAGTTGTCCTTTCAGATATTTTGGCCTTTAGATTTCCTTTTCTTTTTCTCTTGGGCTATTTGTCCTTTTATTGACTTTATGAGTCTGGTTTTTAATGTTTTGTCAGGTATGTGTGTTGTAAATAACTTCTCCCAGTGTGTGGCTTGTCTTGTGTGTATATACATCTTTGAATTAAAGTTTAAAATTTTAGTGTATTAGATTTTTCATTTTTTCTTTTATGGTTTATGCTGTATTCTGACTTAAAGGATTCTTTTTTTTTTTTTTAAGATTTTATTTTTTTATTTGAGAGAGAGAATGAGAGATAGAGAGCACGAGAGGGAAGAGGGTCAGAGGGAGAAGCAGACTCCCTGCCAAGCAGGGAGCCCGATGTGGGACTCGATCCCAGGACTCCAGGATCGTGACCTGAGCCGAAGGCAGTCGCTCAACCAACTGAGCCACCCAGGCGCCCTGACTTAAGGGATTCTTAAAGGCATAAAGATTCTCCTGTATTTTTTTCTAAAAGCTTACATTTTATATTTCAAGTATAAGTTGTTAACACATATGGGAAATATTTTGTTGGATGATATAACTTAGGGATTCATTTTTGTTTTTATTCTTTTCAAATGGATACTGGCGCCATTTATTGACCGTTTCAATGCGTTAATGTATAGTATCAACTCTGTCATAAAGTGAGGGTTTGCTTTTGACCTCTCTATTCTGTTCTTTTGATATATTGATTCCACTGTATAATAGCATACTGCTTTATTGACTCTAGCTTTTTAATACAGTCTCTCTTTTATTGTACTCTCTTGATTTCCCCAGGAAGGCCATCCAGTTGATAGGTGATTGCAATAAGTAAGTCAAGATACTTACCTGAGATGTTGATCTCGGGGAGTTGTATTCCCTCGAGCACTGGAGCTCTTCCCCATCCAGTGTTGGCCCAGGAACTGTCAAGGGTTTTACCTAGCAGGGCCTTGTTAAATCATTAGTCACGTTATCATCCACTCTGTATACCCTGCCTTTGTCCGTCTGACTTAATATCTGCTCAGTATGTTTTCCATCTCCTAGAGATAGGGAAGTTTCCCATAGACCTCTTCTTGCATATATTGTGAACATAGTTTGGGGAGCAGCGAAAAAAGATCTATGTTATTCTCTCCTGTTGTTGTTTTATCAGTGTATTCCCATCTCTCTCTCCTGAATGAAATCTGTTTAGTATACTCGATCCATAGAAATGAACATTTTAGATCTAGAAGGGGACTTACTAACTTTTTTCTCTCATTTTACAGATAATTCTTTTTTCAAGATCACGTAATTAGTGGCAGAGTCAGGTCTCTTCAACATTTTCTTCTTGCAAATGATTTTGGGTCTTAATTAGAATCATAAAAGTGATACATTATAGTAGCTTATTGTCTCTTATTCTCTATTTAGATGTTACCATTAGATCATTTTGAGTAACTTGGCACAGGCCTGCTAATATAAATGTTACTAGTGCTAAATCTTAGCCATAAGTTGGGCCATGTGTAGTGTATACTAAATATCTATGTTATGTATACTTTTAATGTCTGTAGAACAAGTTCTTCTCTTATTAATTTTTTAAGCTTTTCTTGATGATTTTATGCATTTAATCTTGCATGTGAACTTTAGAAAATACATATAATTAATATGATTAATATCAGCATTTAATATTATAATTAGGTAGTATATATGTATGGTATAAATAATCATCCATCTCTTACCCTGCCACAGAAAAAGACAGAAAGCAGTTTGGAATATCAAAGTTTTAGATTAATTTGGGATGAATTGATTTCTTTCCATGATTGAGTTTTTGGGTTTTTTTTAATAATTTTTTATTGTTATGTTAATCACCATACATTACATCATTAGTTTTTGATGTAGTGTTCCATGACTCATTGTTTGTGCATAACACCCAGTGCTCCACGCAGAATGTGCCCTCTTTAATACCCATCACCAGGCTAACCCATCCCCCCACCCCCTCCCCTCCAGAACCCTCAGTTTGTTTTTCCAAGTCCATCGTCTCTAATGGTTCGTCTCCCCCTCCAACTTACTCCCCTTCATTCTTCCCCTCCTGCTATCTTCTTCTTCTATTTTTTTTTTTTTAACATATATTGCATTATTTGTTTCCATGATTGAGTTTTTATCATTCAGGAACCTGCTATGACTCTAAGATCTTTGATTTTCTAGAAGAACTTCCTATAAATTTTTTAAATTCATAGGAATGGTATTGAGAAAAAGAAAACTTTTTTTTTAGTAGCAAACAATATTAGAACTGGTATGAATGATAATCATATATTTAAAATGCCATCAAGTATTGAGTTTATAGTAGGACTTTATTCATTCAATAAACATTGTGATGGAGGTATAAGCGATGATACTTGTATTGCTGGTTTGGTCAAGTTTTAAGTTTGGATTTATAAGATACAACATTTGAAACTTTTTTTTTTTTTAATTTGAGCAGGGTCATTATAATGCTCCAGATACTGGAGGTAGAATGGTGCTCAACGGAGCTGTAGTATTGCTCCCTACAAAGTTCCCAGCATCTGGCTGGAGAAATAGACATTCACCATACAAGGAATTACTCATGTTCTAAGTACTGTGAAGGAAAAGTATAGGCATAAGAAAATGGACAGGACCTAACTTACTTGGGAAGGGCCATGGGGGTTGTCAGGCTGTTCTTGGTGATGATGTTTAAACAAAGGCCAGAAATAATACTAGGAGTTCCTAGATGAAGAAGTAGATCTATAATTTCCCAGTTAGTAAGAGCAACTCATTGTGTGTAGAGGAGGTTGGTGCATTTGAGGAGCCAAAAGAGGACTCTGTCACTCGAACTTGATGTGGGGAGGGACTTGAAATGAGTCTAGAGCCTAGAGTCTGGGAAATGACATGACATCACTTTTTTAAAAATCGCTTTTTAATGGTCACTCAGCTGCCTTGTAGAAAATGGACTAGAGGGGGTCAAGAGTAGATATGGAGAGAGCTTTCCCAAAAGGTCACTTACATTTACCTAGGTGAGAAACAATGGGAGCATTGCAGCTAGGGGAGTGACAGCAGACATGGAGAGAAGTTGCAGAGATAGGTAGGAGATGCAGTTCTCGGGGTTTGATGATGTATTGAGTATGTGGAGTGATGGAGGAAGTATCAGAGAGCATAGTTCAGCTTAGGCATTCATTCACACGTTTTGAGTACTTTGTTTGAAGAGGGCATTTCTAACATGTATTCTGGAAGACAATATGATATTTAGTGCTCTTTGATGATGATGATGATCATGTTTTTTCCATGCTGTAGATATTGCACCACCATATTGCCTTAGTAGAGAAACTAGCTTTGACTACTTCTGGATGCCCACTGGTGATTCAGTGCAAGAACTTCAGGATTGTGCATTTCATTGTTCCCAGAGAAAGAGATTGCCATGATATTTATAATTCTTTGCTACAGCTGTCAAAACAAGGTACTGTTTTTAGAGACCAAAGCTTACTTAATGTTGAGATGGATTATCTAAGATACTTAATATGCCATTGCTACTTTATACTTGAAGTTATTCTTAAGTTCTTGTGCACTCTATTCCAAAAAGTTTGACTTGGAAATAATTAGATGCTTCTCATCTGAATCGTAAGAATGGTTTCCAAAGAAGGAGTAACAGTAAGGAAAAAGTTAAACATTTAGAGTACAGATTTTAGAAACCATAGATTTTTATTAATGTTTTTAAAATTTGTTGGTAGCCAACAGCACAGCTTTTTTTTTTTTTTTTTTTAAGTGGGTATCCACAACCAAGGGGAATAACTTGGAAATTGGTTACTGAATGAAAAGTTAAGGAAGGTCGGGCTCCTCTGGTAGCAGTGGGACCAATGAATTTGACCAGAGTGGAGCATAAAGGAGATGACCAGAGGGAAAAGAGAGGGTGAATCCTACTTTACTAGAGGTGGGAGTGAGAGGAGTGTAGGCCAGAAAGAGGAATCCTGTCACTATGCCTTTGGGATCTGGAGGCTTTCTTCCCCCAAGGTGACTTGAATTATGTAGATCTCTCCAAGAGACAAAGCACACTGGTTACTGAATGTTACTTTGTTGTTGAACACCTGGACTGCAGTGGTCTAGGAGCAGGTGTACACCCTTCTCTCCTAACACATAAATACTAGAGTATTTAATATCAAAGTATTGTTTATTAGCTTTTGCTGATGATATAAATTGAATCTCTGATATGTATGCCTTTAGATATGATCGTTTGAATTAAAGAACTGAGAACATAAATTGAATTCAAATATATTCAGATAATAGTTACCCCTTTGAAAATTTTAAAGAAAAAATGGAGGGATAAAGCTGAAAAATTACTATTATTTGTAGAGTTTTAAGTCCTAGAAGTTGCATCGTAACATTTATGTATTTTGTATACTATAGCAAAATATGAAGATCTCTATGCATTCTCTTACAATCCCAAACAAAACGATTCGGAACGACTACAGGGTTGGCAGCTCATTGACCTTGCCGAGGAATATAAGAGGATGGGAGTGCCGAATTCAAACTGGCAGCTGTCTGATGCCAACCGAGAATACAAGGTAACTTTTTACTTACATTCCAGTTAGTTAACATACAGTGTGGTGTTAATTTCAGGTGTACAATATAGTGATTCAGCACTTCCATACAGCACCCGGTGCTCATCACAACAAATGCGCTCTTTAATCCCCATCACCTGTTTCCCCCATCCCCACACTCACCTCCCTTCTGGTAACCATCAGTTTGTTATTTACGGTTAAGAGTCTGTTGGTTTGCCACCCTCTTTTTTTTTTTTTTCCCCCCCCTTTGCTCATTTGTTTTGTTTCTTAAATTCCACATATGAGTGAAATCACATGGTATTTGTCTTTCTCTGACTGACTTATTTCAACTTGGCAATTCTTTGGAGAAATTCAGAATTCATAGTAGCAAGTTGTCTACATATTGCTATGTACTGTTCTTGCATTTAATAAGTTTTAAAGTTTTTAAAGTTTTTTAAAGGTGATTTTTAACCTCATAGTTTTTGAACTGTGAGTAGAATGGTTATGTTTTATTTGATTTTTACAGATTTGTGAAACTTATCCCAGAGAACTTTATGTTCCCCGAATAGCAAGCAAACCAATAATTGTTGGTAGTTCCAAGTTCCGGAGCAAGGGAAGATTCCCAGTTCTTTCCTATTATCATCAAAATAAAGAGGTAACAAGAGAAGATTTTCCTTTTTTATTTTACAAATGTGGTATAACCCCTTTTCAGGTTTAAGTATCCAAATGAACACTCATTTATGCATAGGGAGGTCATTATTATAATGTTCCTGATAGAGAAGTGTTGGCTTTTCTCTTGATTACGTTTTTGAAATTTTAAAATTACCCTGACATATAGAAACTTTCATACTTGTCATCTTTCTTTCCTCCCACACCCTCCTTCAGTCTTTCTTTTCTTCTGGTAGGGACTTAAAAATAATATTAGTGAACAAATAGGTTCTTCTTTCCTGTGGTTCTTTTGATACTGCTTATATTTAGGAAAACCAGATAGTTTTGACAAACCAACTATTGAGAAAAAGAAGAGAACCAAGGGTATTTCAGGCTCTCAATTTTTATAGAAAGCTCTTCCAATCAGAAGGATTTTGCAATACGAAGAGGTGGAGGAGACATCTTTATACTGAGATGCTGTAATAGGGATTGCACATTACAGCAAAATTTTCCTTTTGTAGCTTGTAACAGTAGACCACAAGGTGCTATGTGTTAGATGCTTTATATGCATGAAATCCCATGATAATTTTATAAGGTAGGCTCTGCTAATTTCCTATAACTTTCAACCTGTAAAGAGAGGGTAAATCACCTTTCCTATATCTAACAGCTAGCAAGTTGTGGAGTTCCATGCCAGTTCTGACTCCCACTGCTTTGTGACCTGATTTTTTCTCCTCAGGAAGCTTTTACTCCCCAGTGTCCTGAAATTTCACAGTGAAGTGCCATGGCGTGTTTTTTTAAATCTATCTGGGAACTCACTTTTGGGAAATTACTTCTCTATTTCTGTGGTAACCTCTTCTCTTACTTTCCTTTGTACTAGTGTGTGTGTGTGTGTGTGTGTGTGTGTGTGTGTGTTACTTGGCAAGTGGGTCTCTCTAAACCTCCATTTTTCTTAATTTTCTCTCCTATTTTCCATCTCTTTCTAGTTTTTTAGAAGATTTCCTCAACTTTGTTTGCAGTCCACCTCTTTATTTTTGCTATACCCTTTTTAAAATCTAAGAACTCTTTCCTATTTTCTGAACTTTTTAGACACTTTTCTATTCTTGGCTGTGATGACTGGGTTCTCTGAAGACATTAAGGATTTTTTTAAAAGAATTCTTTTGCTCCCCACATTAGTTGTCTGTTGCTCAGAGTTCCTTTTTTCTGTTTATTTTGTTTGTTTCTCATGTCTTTCAAATATCTGATTCTTGGCTGGCCTCTCATACTTAAAGAGTGAGGTACCACAAGCTTGTTTAGAAGTTTGTGGGCATGAGCTATCTCTATCTTTGGATTATTTCTGTTGTTAATTTTCATCCCAATATGTGTGTTAGTTCTGTCCAGGATTCAAGTGTACGAAGGCAGATGGGAGGATCTCATATTTTGTTTTGTAGGCTTTACTTCATCTTCTTGTTGTGGGGGGTACAGGGCTTCGCTCCCACCCACATCTGTGCATATTGTCCAGAGTCTTCAGGTTAATCCTTTTCATAGAATAAACTTTGCCTTCAGGGTGAGGGAAGATCTGGGAGCCTTAATTAGCCCCTATATGGGTAGTCAACCAGTTCTGTTTTCAGTTATACTCCAGCTCAGGCTTTCAGAGGTACCAAATCTTGAGCCTTTCTGGGATTTTGCTGCTCAAAATGCTTGCTTATTGTTAACTCATAACAATTTGGCAACTTTCTTTGTTCTGGTAAATTGGTCATTACTAGCTTGTACAATCTGCTTTCATTTCCTGAAATTTTATTAACATCTCTACTCTATTTTTCTCTCCTTTTCCATTCTCTTTGATCTTTTGATTTTATGCATTTTAGATGTCTTTATTAGGACTTTAGTTGGGTTTTAGAAAGGAGCCAGAGGTAAAAAGTAAAACTTTAAACAAATTCCTAATCATAGCTAGGAGTAACAAAGTTATAGGGAGTTATGACTGGTTATGGCCTCTGTTTGACACACCCATGTTTGTATACATTGTTTATTGGAAAGCTGCACTCAAAATAGATATTCAGTGCCTAACTTAAATCAGAAAGTACGTCTGAAAAGAATTTTACAAAGCAATCCTCATTTTCTTCTATTTTATTAAATTCACATGGTTTTATTTTGTGAATTTAAAATGTGAATTTATGTATACTTTTTTTTCCTTAATGATACTATGGTTGGAATGATTGGGTAGAGTTAAGTTGGAGTTGGTATGGATGAGATTGGAGATAAAATATATGGGTCTAAATCTTCTAATCTTTTTTTAAGACTTTGAACAAAAGTAAATATCTAATCCACCATTCACTATTTCTTATAGATATTTTTACCCTCTTAGATTTATGTTTTAACTCAAATTTGAATTGAAGTTCATTTTTCCCATTTTATGTCTCATTTTATATTGATTTCTAGAGATCTGAAAGCTTTTGGAATATAAGAGCTCAGATGTTGCTATTTTTAAAAATCCTGTTCTATCTTTATTGATTAATCCCTTACTTGAACTTGAATTGAAAGTATCTTGTAATCTAGAGCATAGCATGCAAGTATCTTAGTAGGTTACATGATATAGAGAATTGACCAAGTGTTGCTTCTTAGGACTTAAGATTTTTGCATCAAACTATGTAAGGAGGCATTTCACTTTTTCAGAAGAAAATATTAGGAAAACTTACGTAACATCAAGATGTTCACATAGTGTTTAATTCAAATAGGATTTCAAGGTTAATGTCTTCTAATTATCCTGCCAACTTCTAAACAGATTACATGTTTGATTTTAACTTTTGTTTTTCTTTTAAGCATTTTTTTTTTAAGAAATGTTTTAGACATCTTTGGATAATCTGTTGTTTTCTGTCCTTTTAAAATTAGGCTGCCATTTGTCGATGTAGTCAACCACTATCAGGATTCAGTGCCAGGTGCCTGGAGGATGAACATTTGCTTCAAGCCATTAGTAAAGCCAATCCAGTCAATCGCTATATGTATGTCATGGATACCAGGCCCAAAGTATGTGTCTTGAATCTAGTACAGTCTGTTAGTTTAATTATCTTTGTTACTTTAATTAATGAGAGTTAATCAATTTGCCCATATTTAACCTATCTGAATCCCAGTTTTAAATTAACTGAGGCTAATGATAATGAGGAAAGCAATCTTTTAAAGGATACCAACTTAAGAGACCTGTTTCCCAGATGGTGATTTCTTATGTCTTCTGATTTATATATAAATTTAGAAAAACAGATTTTTATATTGGGAACTCTTGATGGTGTGGAAGACTTACATTATTGTGAAGAAATGTTAAATAGTGTGTGTGTTTGAAAAATTATATGAAAATCTTATTAATTTTTTTGGGAGACTTTTTTTTTGGTAGACTTTTTAATGGTCAAAACACTCTGTGTTAAAATAATGGGCCTTAATTTGAAATATACAAGAAAATAAGGAAAATAGTAAGTTAGGAAACATTGAACTAGAGAATTATAAATAGTGAACTGGTACATATATACGATGGAATATAACTCAGCCATCAGAAAGGATGAATACCCACCATTTGCATCGACATGGATGGAACTGGAGAGGATTATGCTAAGTGAAGTAAGTCAAGCAGAGAAAAAACAATTATCATATGATTTCACTCATACATGGAACATAAGCAATAATACGGAGGACCATAGGGGAAGGAAGGAAAATCTGAAGGGGTAGAAATCAGAGAGGGAGATGAACCATGAGAGACTATGGACTACGGGAAACAAACTGAGAGTTTCAGAGGGGAGGAGGGTGGGAGGAGGGGTAATAGGTTGATGGGCATTTAGAAGGGCAAGTGTTGTGATGAATGATGAACACTGGGTGTTATATGGAACTAATGAATTATTGAACACTACATCAGAAACTAATGATGTACTTATACAGTGGCTAACTGAACATAATAAAAAATCATTCTATAAATGCTAGTTGGAGTAGAGAAAATATATCATTTTATCCTCACTACATATTTGTTATACAATAAAAAGATATCATTTTCACCAATTCAAAACAAAAAACAAAACCACACTGGATTTTGAAGACACAGTGCAAAAAACACTAAAATATTCTATAATATTTTAATATTGATTACATGCTGAAATGGTAATATTTTTTCTATTTGGAGTTAAATAAAATATATTACTAAAATTAAAAAAAATAGTGAAGAGGACATAGTTGTTCTGTTAGGCATCTGTAATGTTAGGTTCAGTTTTTATCATTGAGACAAATGTCAGAATCCCTTTTTCTTTCTATAAACACAGTTAAGCAACTAATTCATATAGGATCCTGAAACTAAAGTGATTAAAATCCTCAATGGTAATAGCTAACATTACTTTTAATTTTTATTATAGCATCGAATGCAGAGCTGGTGGGCTACACAAAAGGACATTGGCAGAATTATAGTGAGGATTTCTTCAAAAATCTGGAATGATGAGAAAATAAGAGAAAGCGATGAGAAAAAGCGAGTGAGCGATATAGAGCACAATTTTAGGCAGCTTTGTTGAAAGGAATGGTAGCTGTTTTAGAAGTTATTCTCATCATTATGCATTCTCACAAAAGATAATGGAGGAAACAGAAGATGAGATTAATATGAGTAAATTAAGTATTAAAAACTAGAAATTGATAATTTGATAATTTTTTATCTTGTTAACAAGAAAAGACTTTCTTAGAAGTCAAGAATGTTGGTGATATCTCTTGTAAGACAAATTTAATTTTTCTTCCTTGTTTAATCTGGGTGGATTCATTGGTCAGAATTACTTCTAGGTAATATTAGGTATAAAAGATGGTTCAAGAGTTTCTGAATATGAGGCTTGAGGGTGATCTCTTTCCCAGGACCTAGTACCTCTATTTGTATAATTGACTTCTACACAGAAAATAGGCCTTTCTTTGATTGTTTTGTTTGTACTATTTAAACTTCAACTTAACTAGTAATAATGAAGCATTTTAATATCTAACTCTCACCTAAGTCATCATAGGTGCTGAATAACCAGTGAGTCAGTAGGTAGAATTGAACTGTTCTTTTTACCAACCTGGGCCCCTATCTACTGAATGAAAAGCTACTTTTTCTTCCAATTTAGGTTTTGTTTCATCCAAATTCATAAGAATATTTTGTAAACTGTAATAATGTGCAATATGAAATCCTAGTCTCAAAGAATTAAACATACCAAATCTTAAATGAACGTCTTGATAGCATTGGGCATGGGCCTGCTGGCGGTCTGTTTTCCCCTTAGAGACCAATTTTGGCCCAATTCTTGGAGATATATCAAGCTAGTGGATTATATGCCATATATACTGTGTGGGCCTCCAGTAATCTGCAGTATGGAGGACCTCAAATAATCTGACGTGTATTTCAGATCTGATTTTTCAAGGGTCCCTGTGGCTCTCTGATCATGTGTTCCACAGGCTTGCTCTGAAGTGAATTTAATAGGTTCATTCTATAACGGGAAACTTCCCAGCTTGGCTCATCTCTGAATCATTTAGGATTCAGATAAGAGATACTTCTTTCTTTTTTACATTTTGAAATATTATAAACATATGGAAAACTGACTAAAAACATAAGTGAATTAGTTTCATAAATTATTTGTGGGGGAACTTCTTGTCTGACCTTTCCATTATATAGCAGTCATGTTGTTACTTTATATAAAGTATTCTTCTCTACTCTTAATAACATATGTGACACTTTTACTTATTAAAAACGGTAGCATATTCAGTTTTGAAGAGTTCTTTAAACTCTGCTAAAATGTGGTTTATTTAGTATTTTCATGATGTTTTGGTAAACTAAGTTAAGAGATAAAAGCAATTTGTCTCTAAATTTCAGCTGAATGCAATGGCCAACAGAGCAGCTGGAAAAGGTTATGAAAATGAAGACAACTATTCTAACATTAGATTTCAGTTTGTTGGAATTGAAAATATTCATGTCATGCGGTCCAGCCTTCAGAAATTATTGGAAGGTATGATTATTTTTTGCCTTTGAGGCAACTTTCTTTAATAGAAATATAATGTCAGCACATTATAAAATTAAGGATTATGTAATTTAAAATTTTCCTATATCCACATTCAAAAAAGTAAAGTTGAAATTAATATATTTTGCATAATGTATTAAAAACATGTTAACATGTAATCAGTATAAAAAATTAGTAATGACACATTTTAGGTTTTTTCCCTTAAATCTTAAAAATTGACTAGTTTGTATTTTACACTGTTAAACCACATCTCAGTTTGGACTACCCACGTGTCAGTTCGGGTAGTGGCTACTGTATTGGACAGTACAGTTCTAATTGCAAAAAAAAAAAAATGGTTATTATTAGGTAAATATTCTTGCTTAGTCTGTACAGTGAAGATTAATTGATAATAATGCTCCATTTAAGTATTAAGATCTTTCCAGTCGTGGTATGGAATTTTAAAAATTAAAATATCAAACTTTTAAGCATTTCATACACCAAATTTTTTTTTCTTAAAAGAGATTGGAGCTTTTTTTAAGCACAAGGAATGACAGAAAAATGTACCCAAAAAATCCAATATTGAGGTTCTGATAGCATCTTTTCATTTATAGAGTCTCGTTTTTTATTTTGTCCTCTTCCTCCCAATTCACTCACTCAGAGAGAGCTTGAGTAGGAGAAGTGGAGACTCTAGCTGCATTCTAATGAAATGTTTTTTTCCCCTTTTTAGTCAATGGTACCAAAGGGCTTTCTGTCAGTGATTTCTACTCTGGTTTGGAGAGCTCAGGATGGCTTCGCCATATCAAAGCTGTTATGGACGCTGCAATCTTCTTAGCCAAAGTAACTCTTCGCTCATATTTTGTTTGGGGATTTATAATGGTTGGGAAGGAATGTATTTATCCTGTTGGGTGCTGCTACCCTTTCCAGTCAGATAACTTTTATGTTTTACCTCTTTAATGAGGCTTAATTTGAGCACTAAAAGATCATGTAGTTCTTCATGTAGGGACTTAAAAAGAAACCCCCAGACACTTTGGAAACAGCAATTTTGGTTTTGTTTTTTGTTTGCTTTGTGTTTTGTCTTGTTTTTTTTTGGAAATTATGCTGTGACAGCATTATCATTACAGTCCTTGCTCTTCCTTGTAATGCAATACTTGCTAGTATAGTTTGAGTAAGTAGAACTTAATTGATGTACCTAAATTCTAAATTCTGCTATAATCTAAGTATGTGATCTTTCTTTTCAGGCAATAATGGTTGAAAATGCAAGTGTGTTGGTACATTGTTCTGATGGTTGGGATAGGACTTCCCAGGTTTGTTCACTTGGCTCTCTTTTATTGGATTCCTACTACAGGACAATCAAAGGATTCATGGTAAGGAGTGATTTGGCTAGACCAGTGATTCTCAAATATGAATGATTTTGTCCTCCCAGGAGACATTTGGCAATGTTAGGAGAGTTTTGGTTGTTACAAAGAAAAGGGTGCAACTAGCACTTAGCTGGTAGAGGCCCAGGATACTGCTACTATTCTGTACCACAGAGGATAGCCCCTGCAATAAAGACCTAACTAGCCCAAACTGTATTTAGTGCTGAGGTTGAAAAACCTTGAGTTAGACTGATTTCCATTTGTGCCATCTCTTTGACAACAAGTTTTGAATATAAAAGTTTTTTTTCTAAAATGTTATAGTAGAAATATTCAGTATTTTCCTCTCCATTTTTATACGACAAATGTGAATGATGTAAAACAAGGCAGAAATAGGAGTACTTAAAAATTACGTTCTAGAGGAAACTTTCTATTTAAAACGCCTTCATTCATTAATTGTAATTACACATTAGGAGGAAGCATGTTTTATATCTGAAGATTAAATTTCTAATTGAATAGATTTTCTGCTTTGTGAAGCTAAAGCCCTGGCTCCTGTTTTTTGTCTTTTAACACAAGATCAGATTAACTTATGTTTTCAAAATTTACATCTTAATTCATGGCAAGTAAAGTAAGCGAAGAGACAGTAGAAAGTTTTCATTAGTTTAGAATAATTAAGTGCAGTGCCATCGTAAAGCAGGGGAACGTTTAACATCACCAGATCCCTTTCAGCACCATTATTTGTTGGCACTAACATACTGAGTCTTGGACAGGCTGAATGGAAGTACTGCTGATAAAATTACATGCAGCTTACCTTAAGGGTGTAAGATGAGGAATACTTTCTCTGCCATGTTTGGCTTTAATTGTTTGCTAGACGTTCAAATGAAATCATGTAATAAATGCCCAGGGACAATGTGAGAGCTTCCCAGGCAAAAGGAACAATGAAAACCAAAGCATAGCTCTGTTGGCTGAATGCAAGTGATGTGTGATGGCGGAGTTCAGGGTGTTAGCGCGGGGAGCTTGGGTGCAGAAGGATATAGTGGGATGAAGGCCTCAGGAAGAGAAGACTGGAATTTGGCCTTTACCCTCTTTGGGTAGTGAGAGCCATTAAAGGGCTTTAAGTAGAGGAAACAGTAACTTGCTTGGATCTGCTTTGTAAAAAGATGGCTTGGTGTCTTCCAGGTGGAGGGTAGTGGAAATGGAGGCTGGGAGACCAGTGTGGAAACTGGTAAGATAACTCTGGAGAGAAAAGAGGGCCAGGAGTAAGGCAGTACCACACGAATGCAGAGGAGGTCATAGGTTCAACCTCCAAGGATGCTGAGAAGGTAGAATCAGTAGGAATTGTTCCTGGATTGGATGTGAGGAGAGGAGGCCTCTTCCAGGATGATTTCCTGTCTCTGGACTTAGTTGCTAGGATGGATGGTGCTGTTCTCTTGTTCTCTACTGAGAAAAGCAGAAGTCTAAGTTTAGTGAGAAAGACACTGAGTTAAGTTTTAGATGTGGATGTGTAGAGGACCGGCAGAGGGCCTGCAGTAAAATCTGGGGCTCCAGCCTGAAGACCACTTGCCTGAGGTCACGCAGGTGTGGAAGTGGCAAAGCTAGGATTTGAGCCCATGCAATATGGCTCCAGAAACTGTATCTTTCCCCGTCACATTATATGGCCTTCTGGAAAGATTAATAACAAAGAGAAGCTAAAGGTGGCTGTTTTTTTAAATCCCTGGCATTGAGTACTACCTCCCTCTCCCTCCCTCCCTTCTTTCTTTTGGCGTGTGTTTCTCCATCTCGTCATTTTGTACAGTAGGAATTTAACCTCCCTGTTCCAGAGTGTGCTCAGCTGAAAGTAAGGAACATGTTGCCTCTCGGTGCTTCTTCAGTGAGGCTTCTTCTTTCCCCTTAGTTGTGGAGTTTGTTCTGTCAGTCTTCAGGCCGATTTCTGGGGTATTCAGCATGATTTGATAATTATCTGTTTGTGTTTAACTGACAAGGCCAGCCTGGGATCCTCCTACTCTGCCGCCATCTTAGCTTCCCCCCACCAAAGGTGGCAGTTTTGACTGAAAAGAATGTACTTGGTGATTATATAATGAAATTATGAGATATATTAAATACTAAGAAGATAGGTTGTATAAATTAGACTGAAAAAAATTAGAAGCCTATTACTTCAGTAGAGTTGTGACAGAGAAAACAGATAAAGACAGTCCATTCAAGAGGTTAGATATCACCATATGAATTTGAATATACACTTTTTATTGGTGTCTATCATTCTTTTTCTGTTAAGTACCATATAAGTAATGTACTAGTAAGCCAGAAGGTTTAAAGCATACACCCCAGTCTACCACCTATAGTTCACACTGTTAACATTTTGATTTCCATATTTGTAGCCTTTTTTCTATGCAGATATCATCATTAGACATACAGAAATGTAAATGTGCTAGCGCTTTATAACATGTAGTTTTCACTTAAAATGTAATAAATACAACCTAAATGATTTAAGTCACAGGACTACCGTATTTCTTTTATGTGTCATTTTTACTCTTTGTTAAACCAGCCTCTAATCCAGGTTCTTGCTGTCTTTTGCCTATAATTAAACAAAAGTTTGTTTTGTTTGCAACCATAAGTTAAAAGGGTAAATGCTGTTAAGATAATAGGATTTAATCCATTTTAAACAAAAGAAATTGAAAATAGTTGTAAAATGGGTTTTGCTTTTTCTCATTAAGGTTTTAATAGAAAAGGATTGGATCTCTTTTGGACATAAGTTTTCAGAGAGGTGAGTCATAGTTGTACATTTATATATTTTGTAAAATTAGTAACACCATTTTAGAGTACCAGAATATTTCTGTTCTTCATGAATTCACATATCCAGTGGTAGTGAGAGTGCTATCAGGTTTTTTGTATGAAAACTGATTTAATTTTTTTCTGTCATTTCTTTCAATTCTCATACCTTAGTTAAATTTTCATGGCAGTTTATTGCCTTCCTTTTTGTCTGGATTGTGGTACTTAGAAGGCAATAGATCCTTTAAAGTTGTGGTTGAAAAACATAAATTTAAATTGTTTTTAATAAAAACATTATGCTTTTTTTATGACAGTAGAATAGTGTTTCAGGTTCATGTGTGTGTGTTTAAATTTGATAATATGTGAATAATTGACTTCTTTCAGAGGCATTTTTAAAAGCTTGTACTTTCTCGAGGGTAGGTGTGGCCATTTGGATGGTGACCCAAAGGAAGTCTCACCGGTGTTTACTCAGTTCTTGGAGTGTGTGTGGCATTTGACTGAACAGTTCCCACAAGACTTTGAATTCAATGAAGCGTTTCTTCTTCAGATCCATGAACATATTCACTCATGCCAATTTGGAAACTTCCTTGGAAATTGTCAGAAGGAAAGAGAAGAGCTCAAGTAAGACAGTTTGCATAAAATGGGCTCTTTATTTCCTACTTGGTTGAGGTCTAACATAAATCATAGTGGAACATAATAAAATATCTTGACAGTATGTAATAGAATTGAATTTTGTTGTAAAGATTTTTTGTCTCTATTTCTGAAGCTTAGTGCCCTCTCTCCCTCACGTCCTCAGGTTAACAGTAAAAACACTAATTTTAAAGAATTTGTTTTGAAATGTAGCATACATATAGAAAAGTGCATATGGCATAAGTGCGAAGCTCAATAAATCTGAAACTCATCCTTCTGTGTAACCAGCACCCAGAACAAGAAACCTTACCAACACCCTGGAAACCGCCATTCTACTCCTTTCTAATCTGAATATATATTTAGAGCAGAAAACTATTAACTTATTTCATTTCTTAGAAAGTAAAGATTTTATTTATTTATTTGAGAGAGAGAATGAGAGAGAGAGAGAGAGAGCATGGGGGGGGGAGGGTCAGAGGGAGAAGCAGACTCCCCGCTGAGCGGGGAGCCCGATGCGGGACTCGATCCTGGGACTCCAGGATCATGACCTGAGCCGAAGGCAGTTGCTTAACCAACTGAGCCACCCAGGCGCCCCTCATTTCTTAGAAAGTATTGGTCACTAAGCTTTAAAGTTTGGTTAAAGATTTTTAAAAACTTGGTTTTAAGGTAAGATGAAGCCTTACAGTTTTCCTCCCATTTCTAAACAGATATTCTCTGGGGAAAATAGATCTGTGTTAGCTGTAGTGTGTCTGTCCCTGAGTTGGGTCTCGTACCTCTTCTTTCCTAACCAATCTTTGGGAGTAGGGGTTTCTGGCTAAATTTTGATGCAAAGAAAATATGGGGTAAGGCTGTGAGAAGTGCTTAAATATAAATTTTTTTTGGGTTGAGTTTCTGAGTTTAGAGTTCTTACAAGTCAATAAAGAGCAGTTATAGATTCTTGAGTGTCCAAGTGACATATTAGAGAAGCTAAATCTGGTAGTAGTTTGAAGACAGCCACATACTCTCACTCTCAACAGAATTGAAGGCAGAACTGAGAGCACTTGGAAGATTCTAAAGATGTGTAAAGGGAATTACAAGTGAAATCAGTATGACAGAGGTGAACAAATCAAAGAGCATTCAGACTTTAGCTCTGTGCCATAGTAATTCACAGTAGTGTGTCATAATTTGGAGCAGGTGACTCTTAGAGTACAGAGCTCTTTTGGGAAAAACTGTTCTTCTCAGTTAGTGCCAAACATCCTCTTACAAAAGAAGATGGTAATAAAAGTACTTATTTCCTAGTAGTCTTTCTCTAAGAACTTACTTACTGGTCATCTTAGGGGTCATAGAAAAATGAGCACACTCTCCATTTTTCCCCTGTACCTCCATCTCTTTTATGTTTATTTGGTAAATATACTATCGAAACCATTCTACCCTTTATCCACTTATTTCACCTAACTTACTCTTAGAGTTGCAATATGATTGGCATCTTTTTACTGTTGAATAACGTCCTGATTTTTCCTAATTCCCTTTTTTTGCTACTCACACTTAAATTTGTCCCTGCTCTGTGAGACATGTTATTACAGCCCAGATATAGGGCTAAGAGAATGAGGCCAAAGAGTGACACAAGTGTCTTACTCTGTATACATGTGTATGGTGATGTGAAATAGGTATAACAGAGGCCATGTTTATGAAATTGTGTGCGTTGAAAGGAATCTCTTAACGTGTATGGTTGTGAGAGAAAATGGTCAACCTGTGTTGTGTTCAGAGAAACATGGTTTTATTTATTTCATGATTATAAGTGAAAGGAAAAAAGGGAGAATACAGAATTCAGAGACAAGGTGAGGTTAGGTTGCGAAGAGAAGGAAAAATGAAAACTTAAATCTACTTGGGAAACAATTACCTGGTTTGTAAAAATGAGTATTAGCATCTGTGGGAAAGATCTTTGTTTTTCTCATTACATTAAGGTTAAAGGAAAAGACTTACTCCCTGTGGCCATTTCTCCTGGATGACCAAAAGAAGTACTTAAATCCTCTCTACAGTTCCAAATCTCCGAAATTTGCAGTTTTGGAGCCAAATACAGTATCTTTCAATTTTAAGTAAGTTGGCATCATTGAGGTACTTATACTTGATTTTTCTCAAACACAATTTATTGAGTTGTTGTTTTTTGTTTTTGTCATAAAGGTTTTGGAGAAACATGTACCACCAATTTGATCGAACATTACATCCTAGACAGTCCGTGTTTAATATAATTACGAATATGAATGAGCAAAATAAGCAGTTAGAGAAAGATATTAAAGACTTAGAATCTGTAAGTATTCTGAAGTGTCTAATGTGAGAGAAATGTGGGTATGGGTATTAAATTAAATTAATTTAATATTAATTAAATATTAATATTTAATATTTGAAATATTAAATTAGTGTATTTCCTTACTTATGTTCTCAGTGTAAATTAGTATATATAGAAACCTCATAAGTACACGACTGCTTCCAAATCAGATCTCCTCTACTTTCAGTATGTTAGTTTGAATTGCTTTCCCTGAATTTTAACATTGAAGTATTTGAAGTACAGTTGACCTTTGAACAACATCGGTTTGAGTTGCACAGGTCCACTTACAAGTGGATTTTTTTTGATAAAGTACAGTACTGTAAATGTATTTTCTCTTGTGATTTTCTTAGTAACACTTTTTTTCTCTAGCTTACTTTATTGTGAGAATATAGTATTAATACATACAACTTACAAAATATGTGTCAGTTGACTCTTTATGCTATTGGTAAGGTTTCCAGTCACGAGTAGACTATTAGTAGTTACATTTTGGGGGGAGTCAAAAGTTATATATGGATTTTTGATTGCATGGGGGGTTGGTTCCCCCAACCCCTGTGTTGTTCAGGGGTGAACTGTATATAGAAAGGTAGAGTTATGAACATAATAAATATCAGGGAATCCACCACCTAGCTTTGTGAGATTTTAACATTTATCATATTTGCTTCAGATCTTTCATGTTTTTGTTTTAAGAAATGAAACGTGATTGGTATGTTTGAAGAAATATACTCCTCCTTAGCCCTCCCCACCTGCTTTGGGCTGAATCTGGGGTTAATTGTTCCTGTGCATATTTTTGTACTTCTACTATATATATTTTTATCCCCTATTTATAATATTGTTTTGTGTGATTTGAAATATTTTTATTTTATATTGAAGAAATACAAAAGAATATATTTTTATACGGCATAAAAGAGCAACAGAAACATGAAGGCACATGTACCCTTCACCCAGCTTAAGGAACTGCATGTTTTAAAGGTTGTTATACTGTCATGCTCATTTTACTCAACATTGTTTTGAAATTTATCCATGTTGATACATGTAGCTTTAATTCTTGTGTTTTATTAATAACTACTGTATAACATTCTCTTATATGCATATATCACAGTCTATCCATTCAGCTACCGCAGAACATTTAACTTGTTCTCAGTTTTGGATTTCCATGATAACAAAGGAAGTTGAATGAGTTTGCATATATTTGCTGGCCATTTCGTTTTTCCTGTTCTCTGGCCTATTCAAACCTCCACTTATTTTTCTGTTGGTATATTTGCCTTTTCCTTATTGATCTGTAAGATTCTTTATACACCAGACATTAGTTCTTTGTTAGATATCTATCTATCTATCTATCTATCTATCTGTCACAAGTGGCTTTGTTTAGTCTGTGTTCTCGTCTTTTTCATTTTATTTATGGTATGTTTTGTATAGATGTTTTGAATTTTAATGCAGTCAATTGATCACTCTTTATGTTTTATGCCTTCTTTTGTATCTTGTTTAAGAAGTCTCTCTCCACCATAAGACTTTCTTGTAATCTTTTTCTGTCATCACATATAAGCAAAAAGGATCGGTGAGTCCATACTTTAAAAATCCTAGACAGTTGGTGTAACTCAGACTGTCATGTCTGCCTCTCAAGCAGGACTGTTCCTTAGTCATCTCTCAGATACGGAGGTAACGATAGGAGGATGTGTAGAGAGGCAAATCCAAGACATAGGTAAATATCAGCAGAGTGGCCAGAGATCAGTCCGGGGATTAGAGAGCATGACACTCTGTCACAGAATACTTTTAAAATCTTATGTTCTGTTTGGAAAAAAAATTCTGTTGGGACACCTGGAGGTGGCTCTGTTGAGCGTCCAACTCTTGGTTTCAGTTCAGGTAATGATCTCAGGGTCGTGAGATCAAGCAAGCCAAAGCTGGGAGTCTGCTTGAGATTCTCTCTCTCCCTCTCCCTCTGCTCCTCCCCTGTTCTCCTGCTCTCTCTCTCTCAAAAATATATAAATAAATCTTTAAAAAAATTAAAAATATAAAAAAATTCTGTTGTGTTCTAAAGCTGGTTATGTTTACCTAACAAATCATTGTAGGGAAACCATGTAAGAAAGTTGTTTAGGTAAATAAGTGTGCGTTTGTTATATTATACAATTATGATTCAGGGTGACGTCTCATACACATTTCTTTTATTATAAAATGTTTACCTTTTATACTTCCTAAGTAATCTATGCCCTTTTCAAATATGAAGGCTTGATCTTTTACAGTCAAGCATAATAACCATTTTCCACTGTAAAAGTTTTAAACAATTAGGATTCTCAACCATGTCTTACTCTTCTGCACTAGATTTTATTAATTTTCTTTTAAAGATTTTATTTATTTATTTGACAGAGAGAGACACAGCGAGAGCAGGAACACAAGCAGGGGGAGTGGGAGAGGGAGAAGCAGGTCTCCTGCTGAGCAGGGAGCCTGATATGGGACTCGATCCCAGGACCCTGGGATCATGACCTGAGCCAAAGGCAGACGCTTAACGACTGAGCCACCCAGGCGCCCGATTTTATTAATTTTTTGAGATCTTTGTATATTCATAAAGAGAACATTTACAAAAGGATGGTTTTTTTCTTTCATCCTGTATTGAACATGTAGTATGTGTAATTAGTAATTTTTTTCAAATTTGGATTTGTTCTAGAAAATTAAGCAACGTAAAAATAAGCAAACAGATGGAATTCTCACCAAGGAATTGTTACATTCAGTTCATCCTGAATCACCTACCCTCAAAACTTCTTTGTGTTTTAAGGAGCAAACTCTGTTGCCTGTGAATCATGCTCTTCGAACTATAGAGGGCAGCAACCCAGCAGATAATCGTTACAGTGAATACGCTGAAGAATTCTCCAAGTCGGAACCTGGTGTGGTCAGCTTAGAGTATGGTGTGGCCAGAATGACCTGTTAGATCCGTAGAGTATTTTCTGGACTGACTGTAGTGCAAGAATTGGATTCTTGTGAGAATGATGTGCGCATGACCAAAAGGAATTTGTCAAATAATGATCTTAGAGTTTAATAGTTGAAGAAAGGATAATAACTGCTCTTGTGAGAGAAGTAAGTCCGTTTAATTGCATTTCCAGCAGGGAATGACTTTTAAGTTCTTTAAGAAACGAGTGGTGTTGGCAGTTTTATTCAAAACACAGTTTGTACTGTATACTAGTGAATTGACATTTCTGTATGATTTATATGTTAATTACAGCCAAACAATTCTGAATAACCTTCCTTAACTGTAACTTAATTGCCAGGAAACAAAACTCGACAAAGTTCTCCCTTAATAATTGACATGGCATGTACTTTTGATTATATAACTCTGTAACTATGGATATTTACATATTTTGCCTATTAGTGATGTTTAATGTTGAAGTGCCATGAAAAATATTTTAAGAAAGCCTTAAAATCGCAACTTATTCTTAAGTTTCATAGCCAGGAGCAGGTTTTTGGTTTTTTTGGTTTTTTTTCTTTGGGTCAGCCTTGTTTTTATTTGTAAAGAATTGCACCATCATCACTGCAGGGCCTGCATGCTACAACAGTCCTGTATAAACAGATGTGCACGTACAGTGTTAAGTTCATGGTCAGCTGCTCCCACATCCATATTCAAAATTAATGAAACTGAAGGTTTTATCCTGATTACAGTTTGTACAGTGCTACATTTGATGACATTATTTACAGCTTAGATTATTGACTTCTTGAATATGTGTAAACTTATTTGACTGTCTTTTATGTATGTATTACTGCATTCTTTTGATTCTTACTTTGTGGTTGGCTTTATTCCTTGGATAACTGTGTAACTTTAAAAAGCTAAGGCTCTAAAACTGTTCTTAGAAACAACGAAGAATGTGTATGTGTACACACACATACTATTTTCTCTCTCAATGAGTTGCTCTTCCTAGAACAGGCTTTCAGTTTCCCCCAAATTTTGGGGTTAAAAAAAGGAAGTACAGATAGTTTAGATTTTGCTTGGTTGCATGAATTTTAAAGCAGCCATTTCTATGTGGAACATTTTTTCTTCTCCATTAACATAGGAATAAAAAAGGAAAATTAAGGATAGCCTAGTACAAAGTTAATGTTTAGCAGGAACAACTTAAATGCTAGGAAAAGTTTCATTTTGCCATGTTATATTAACTGTTCTGTGTGCTACTAACATATCTTTACATGACAAAAAAAAAAAAACAATTCACATGCAATTGACGGTATCACCCAGCTGGCTTTAAAATTGAAGGTTTAAGTAACATGACTGACAAGAGGTATGATTCAGGGGTAATAGGAAACCTGGATAAGGATCCCTAATGCTTCTCTTTATTGTACTTATATCTATTATATTAGTTTTGAGCATAAATATCTTTTTCAAATGGAAAAAAAGCTTTATTGTATGAGAACTTATCTAATCCTGTTTATTTTTCCAATGCTTTTGTGTAGTGCATTATGTAATAAGAAAAATACTGCTTTTTAAACAGTAACAGAAATGTACTATAAAATATAGTTTGTGATTTAGCCAAGCCTATTTCCATACTTAAGCACTGGGACAGAAAACTTAATCTTTGTGACCACAAAGGGAAACTTTTGTGCCTTGTTCCTTGGTTCCAGTTACTGATTATGGTTTTGGAATCTTCCATGGCAGACTTCTTATATTCAAATGTTTTTTTGGTTTATTATTATCTTCAACTTCAGGCATATATATGTGTGTTTATATGCTCACACATGGACTGAGAAATTAGTTAACATCTTAAGTGACCTACAGGGTATATGTTGGCAAAAAGCAGATTGTGTATATGTCTTACAAAATTTCAGTGTGTTTGGGAATGTATAGCATGTAAATTATTACATATTATTTAAAGGAAATTAAATGTTCATATTTTACTTTGGATGTTTTTCTTTTGGAAAAAAACAAATGGGATCAAGTTGTGATTGGTTTTTTCTTTCCTCACTTAGGCAAATGGACCTGCACATTATACTAATCATAACACTATAAGGTTTGAGCAAGTCACTTTCCAAAAGGTTGATGTTGATAAATTATAACTTATATATAAAAATAATTTCCAGAATATTTAAAATAGGCATAGTGGGCTAAAAGGTTCAGCAAATATAGTTGATAATGTCACTAATTTTGGTGGAAGGCAGTGTCCAGTGAGTGTCTACAATCAGTGTAAAATGTCTCACCAAAGGCAGATCTGGGGATAAACAGGATGATGAAAATGACTTGCAGGAAAGAGTTTATATGGGAGTGTGTTGAAAGATTAGCTAGGCCAGAAGTAGCTCAGGGAATCTTGCCTGAATAAAGATGGAGGAAAGTCCTTTTTTTTTTTTTTTAAGTTCTCTTTATTTGGTAGAGTAGCAGGGCAGGGGGGTAGTATCAGGAGCCGCCCCCCCCCCTTTTTAAAGACTATTTTTTTAAGAGCAGTTTTAGGTTCACAGCAAAATTGAAAGAAAGGTCCAGAAATTTCTTATATACTCCACCAGAGTAGTACATTTGTTACAATTGATAAACCTGCATTGACACATCATAATCACCCCAAGTCCATAGTTTACCTTAGGGTTTATTCTTGGTGCTGTATATTCTGTGGGTTTTGGACAAATGTATAATGACCATATAGGGTATTTTTCATGGTGCAAAAAATCCACTATGCTCTGCCTATTAATCCCTCCCTGTCCCGCCAACCCCTGGCAACCACTGATCTTTCTGTTGTCTCCATAGTTTTACCATTTCTAGAGTGTCACATAGTAGGGATCATATAGTGTGTGGCCTTTCAGATTGACGTCTTTCACTTAAATGCATTTCAGGGTCTTCTATGTGTTTTCATGTCTTGATGGCTCATTTCTTTTTTAACACTGAATAATATTCCATTGTCTGGATGTACCACAGTTTATTCATTCACCTATTGAAGACACCTGGCTTGCTTCCAAGTTACAGCAATTGTGAATAAAGTTGGCTTAAACATCCGTGTACAGGTTTTTGTGTGGACAGAAGTTTTCAGTTCCTTTGAGTAGGTACCAAGGAGTGTAATTACTGGGTTGTATATAGTAAGAGCATGTTTAATTTCATAAGAAACTGCCAAACTGTCTTCCAAAGTGGCTGCACCATTTCCCACCAGCAGTGAATGAGAGTTCCTGTTGCTCCACATCCTCACCAGCGTTCAGTATTGCCAGTGTTCTGCATTTTGGCCATTTGAATAGCCTTTTCTGACCTCTTTTTTTTTTTTTTCTTCAGGTCAGCTTGAGAGTACTGAAAAATTTTCAGTTGGCATTCTAAGGTGTATGAAATTCTGTTCATTTATAAAACTATTGAGAGCAGTTGCAGACTTTTGTCAGTGATATCGATCCATTTTCTTTGGCCAAGTTTTAGCTATTTTGTTGGCTTTTCCATGCAGTAATCCAAATGGCATTAACATGTTTTGGTTAAGTTAAAATGTAGAACCTATTTTTAAAAATACATATCTGTAAGCTTTAGAAATCTGTCTCTAGAAAAAGACCAACTGTGATCTAAAATCATTGAATATCTGAAGAACAGGATATATACTATGGTACTTCTCAGAAAATAAAACACTGATTTCTGCCATTTTTATGAACACTATTAGTGTTGCTTTAGTTATTTCTAGGCAAGGAAAATATCCTTTTGCACAGCAACTTTTGTAAAGTAGTGGAATGTGTAACTGAAAGCAAATTTCAGAAGCATTTGCATTTAACAATATTTTGGAGCTTCTGTTGCAGAATGATAGGAGTATCACACTCTAAACCACCTACCCCAATCAGTAAGCATCTCTCTTGTTCTTAAAGGAAATGCACAATTACTCTGCTACACAACAGGGGGGAGAAACCTTTGTTTTAGGCCACTGAGAGTTTGGGTTCTTTGTTACTGTAGCATAACCTAGTTCATCCTGAACGATGAAACCATTAGCACATCCAAGAAGCTAATTATCCTCTGATTTCGTCTAAATTCAGTCTTTCATTGACTCCACATGGGCTTTTCCTTATTTTTGCACTCCTACCCAGTTAAGGTTCATGCATGGCATTTGCTTGTAGCTCTTTAGTCTCCTTTTGAACAGTCTCCTCACCTTCCTTTGCACTGATGTCTTGAACCAGACCAGATATAGAGTATCTTACCACTTCCTGCATTTGCCCAGTTGTTTCCTCATGGTGTAGTTTAACTTGTTCCTCTATCTGCTGTACCTCCTATAAAGCAGGCATTAAATGAGATTCAGATCAAGCATTTTAGGAAAGATGCTTTGCACTTCATATTGAATTAGGAGGGTATAATATCAGGCTGTTCCACTATTTTGATAAGTTTGATCACTTGGCTGATCTCTCCTTATAAAGGAGAGGTCTCCTTTAGGTTGGTTTCTCTCCTTTGCACTTAGCAAATGCTCTGCCAGGTGTTATTTTGACATCAAAATGAATATCCCATTCCCTAACAACCTGTGCATTGATGATAATTGCCTGAATCAGTTATTTCATTCGGTGTTCCAAAATGGCAATTTTCCAATTTGCCTTTAGTTTTACATTTATTTGGTGGTATTCTTTAAAGAAGTGCTTTCAGGGGCACCTGGGTGGCTCAGTCAGTTAAGCGGCTGCCTTCAGCTCAGGTCATGATCCTGGGGTCTTGGGATCGAGCCCCACTTCCAGCTTCCTGCTCAGCGGAGAGCCTGCTTCTCCCTCTCCATCTGCCTGCCACTCTGCCTACTTGTGCTCTCTCTCTCTCTGTCAATTAAAATCTTTAAAAAAAAAATCTCAAGTGATTTCATTCATCAAATCGGGAAATTCCTCTTAAAAAAGGTGTGATAAAAGTTTAAATCTTCCCCTTTAATCACTAGTTTTCAGAATAAGGAGTTGTAATGGTCACCTCCAAACACTAGTTTTCTCTCTGTAGGGACGTGTATTTTTATAATCAATTACAGTAAATGCTCTTTTTGCTCAAACTGTTCTAAGTCTGTCCAGAAGAGCTCCAAGGTCCTTTCATATCCTTTTCGTGTACCAGTTAGTTTTGAGCACATTTTTGGTTTCTAACATGAGCAGATGTCCCAGGCTCATCTTGTGCTTTCTTTACTTCAGTTTTGGAATCAGCCATTTCTTGTTCCTGTTAGTGGGGAATGATATTTAAAACCAAACTCTGGACATAAGATGTGCTCATTGCTACTGGACCATTATTGCTTCCAGATCCTTTCAATGGACAGAACTAGAAAATGTCTTTTTAAAAATAATGAGTTTAAACAATATTAACCAAGTTATTATTACCACAGTGTTTTCTTCTTTGATGTGTATCTCTATTTCCCTTATACTAAAAATCTTGGTTTCTTGCAGCGCCTGCGTGGCTCCGGCGGTTAAGTGTCTGACTCTTCATTTCAGCTCAGGTCATGATCACAGGGTTGTGAGATTGAGC